TAACAATAACAACATTTTTCCTTGTTTGCCTCATAGGTTAACAACTTAAATAGAAATGATGTTTTCTATATGTCAGTGTGTGAAAATCAAAGGTCTTGGACTTGAACTGTGGATCCCCTTTATGTATGCACTTGATCTCCATATTCACGGTCCACTTTGAATTATCAAAATATAAGAAGCTTTCTGTATTTCGTAAATATTCTAATTACACTAAATCCTAAAGGATCCACATAATTAGAAAATGTCTGAGAAGCTTTACATTTTTAAAGATAACATTGCCAAAATGCTATGTGTTAGAAGCTGACAAATGCTTTATGTGAAATACATGTATATGTATGTATTCATAGTAGCCCTATGGGATAAGCTAGGCAGCTATCCTTATTTTACAGATGAGGAAAATTTGGCTTAGGAAGTTAATTTTCTAAGATCACAAATCTAGTAAACTGTGTAACTGGAATGCAGAATTAGTTCCTAACCACAGATTGTACAAGTAACATGAAATGAATTAGGGAAAAATACACTTAGTGAATCATGAAAGGGTTGTAGAGATTTTAAATAGTTATATGATCTGTTATTTAAAAACTTTTTATATAAAAAAGGTTACATTCTAACCCATTTGGACAAAAGGCTACACTGTATAAGAAAGTCCTTTAATGTTATATATTTGAAATAATAACTATATATTCAAAAAGGTTATACATTTGATTTGAACAAGGGAACTTTTGTATCAGTCATAAAAATGTTTTTATAATAATTGGACTTCATAGAAGTCAAATATTTAAAATTGTTGTTTTTAAGATATATCAAATACACATAATTTTTAATAGAATTTGCTGTGATATTCAAAGCCTTATGGTAGCATTTTTATGTCTTATGACTTGGGGAGAACTAATAAACGAAGCTGCTCAGCAGTTGGCCCTTGTGATTTAAGTTATGAAATTAATAATGAATAGGATCAGGTTGTATTTTAAATAAGTTTTAGTCATTAATTTATTATTGTATTAAGCAATTATTGTGCTTTAATTAATTAGAGTTCGAGTACTATGCAAATCACTCTATAATACTGATGAGAGAAGATACTCTCCATGATTTCCTAGAGTTTACAGATTATTAGACAAAATAAGCAGAAGTTTCAATAGCATTTGTAAGTGAAATGATGAAGGGAGTATGGGTACTGCAGAAATACAGAACAGGTACCCCAGCCTAATATAAATGGTCTACGAGAAAGTATACCAGAAAAAGTAAAGGCCTAAGAAATGATATGATATTAGTCAAATGAAAAGCAGGAGGAATAATGTTCCAGGCAGAGAGAACACTGTGAAAATTCAAGTATCAGAAGCTCATGGCGTATTCTATGAAATGTAAAGGAGTTTACTTTGGCTGGAATGTAGTGATCAAAGGGTTTATGGCAAATGATCAAGGGGTTTATGGCAGCACCAAGTAATATGAACCTTTTCAGCCAATTAAAGGAGCTTGGAGTTTAAGCAGAAACCAATGGAAGGTGTTGCATGTGGTTTTAAGCAGGGGAGTAAGACTCTTCCAGGTAGAACAGACATGGAGGTGACTATATATCAATCCTCATAAAAGATGAACAGGGTCTCCAGGAGAGATAGTGAAGATAAAAAGATTCAAAAGATACTTAGGAGAGAAAAAGTTTATATGGAACTAAATCTCCTGCTAATAACAATGGTAAGCTCTAGGCATAATGTTGGGGAAAAACATACGCAGTTGAAAGGCATTAGCGAGTGACCAAAAGCAGCTAGAAGCTTAAGGAAATTAAGTTCTTGCAATAAAGGTGAAACCTACATTCATGTCACTTTTCTTTTATAGGCACTCCCCACCTGCAGGGTGGAAGGGCAATCCTAGACCTCAATAAGAGAGTAACAGTTTCTGAGACATCAGAGGAGGAAGTTTGGGGATGCCCATAGAGGAAGGTCCCATAATGTAGGGGACCTCTGAGGTGGGAGTCTCTAAATCTGTGTATAAACTCTTCCCCAATCCTTGGCTAACCCCTGAAATATGCATATGCAAAGCAAAATATCAAGGAGCCCAGGGAAAAACAATAGGTAGAAAGATGAAATAGCAGAGTAGAGATTTCAGCAATTTCCTGTTGCTGTGGAGACTGAGTAGGAACTAGAATCCCACCAACTTAGAGTAGCTTGATAAACACCACAGGCCAGAAGGGAACCTCACAGGTAAAGACCATGTTGATAGAACTTAGCTTTGCCCTAGCATCAAGGACAAAAGTGAAATAAATATATGATAATTAAAAACAAAAGACTACACAAGATCAATGTTTAACATTTTCTGTATATTTTGTATGAATCAGGTTTCTTACAGGTGTTCTTTCATGTAGTCCTTCTAGAAATTCTAAATGGTAGGTATGGTTATCTCTTGTTTTGCATCTGAAAAAAATTAAGACTCAGAGAGGATAAGTAATTTCTTGAAGGTTCAAAACCAGATTGAAAGCCAGATCCAGTGAGTCTAAAATCTATGCTATCCTATCTAATAAAAGAGAAACATGGTAATTAGCGTACGACCGCTACCCTTCCCATTGGCTAATCAGGGCGATATGCAAATTAACTGCTAGCCAAGATGGCGGTCGGCAGCCAGGCAACTGGAAGCGAACATGAGGCTTGCTTGCTTCAATGATGGAGGACTCCAACGTTCCCCGCAGGCACCCCAGTGTGGACCCCCACACTGAAGGGTGTGTGACCAGCTGCAAACAGCCATCACCCCCTCATCCAGGCTGGCCAGGCACCCCAATGGGGACCCCCACCCTGAAGGGTGTGTTACCACCCCTCAGCCCCTCACCCATACTGGCCAGGCACCCCAGTGGACCCCCCCTCTTCCCTCTAAGTGCACAAATTTTTGTGCACCGGGCCTCTAGTATTATATATAAGATTAGAGGCTCGGTGACTGAAATTCTTGCACTGGGGTGGGGAGTTCCTCAGCCTGGCCTGTGACCTCTCGCAGTGAAGGAGCCCTCAGGGGATGTCCAACTGATGGCTTAGGCCTGCTTTCCTTGGGGAGGGAGTGGGCCTAAGCCATCTGTTGGACAACCTTAGCACTGCTGCAGAGGCAGGAGAGGCTCCTGTCACTGCCACTGTGTTCCCCCTATGGGAGTGCACTGACCACCAGGGGGTAGCTCCTGCATTGAGCATCTGCCGTCTAGTGGTCAGTGCATGTCATAGTTACCGGTCATTCTGCTGTTTGGTCTATTTGCATATTAGCCTTTTATTACATAGGACTAGAGGCCCAGTGCACAAAATTCATGCACTGGTAGGGTCCCTAGCGGCTGCTGGCTGGGATCTCCCTCCTTTCCCCTGGCTGGCACTGCCCCTGGTTGAACTCCCAGAAGACCTCCTGGTAGAGTGAGAAATTGCATATTATGCTTTTATTATATAGGATACCACCTCCCAGAACAAGCATACATCCTCCTGGGGATCTATCCTTTTGTATGAGGACAATCATCACTCTCTCTGTAGCTGTGACATATTGGGAGCATGTACTTCATGATATTTGCCACCAAATAATTTTGATTTTAATGGAGAATACACCAAAAGGAATCTAGTAGAATGGGGCTGGGGGAGATAATGAGATATGCCAAAATTAGGTACATACTTTAGTTCCTCAGACCCAATCATCACACTCAGAAATCCAATGACAGTATATCTTTATTTTCATTAATTACACCATTTTTTCTGAGTCATTTTTTATTAATGCAATTATTCAGTTGATTCAGTGGTGTCAGCTTTATCCTCATTGTTAACAGATTACGTTAATGATAGGGTATTTGAAAAGAAATATAATTTTTTAAAGACAGGAGTTATTAAATAATTGTATTACTTTTTCTGTGACTTATCTAAAGAGTGCAAAATTATACGTAAAAGGAAATTCAGAAGAGGAGCAAAGATATTCTGTATTTTTCAAAGAACTGATATTAGCAGTGAGGAAGCAAATAGCCTAAAATGATATCCAAGGCATTTCCATGTCCTTTTCTCTGAAAAATAAGATGGAAGAACATTTTAGGACCATTAGACTGTTCTGTGTAAAATTTCCTATGTATTTTCTCAATTTCTTAATAAAGAAATGGAAAACTTTACTTTTTCTAACATTAATGTCATGTAGATTGAAGGTCACACTATACTGAAATACTTTTAATATTTCTGATTAAATAAACTAACTTGCATTGTACAAAAGTTTACATTGAAAAGGAGAATTTTCTAAAACAATGCTAACACTATTCATTTCTGGTTGTATTTTTGTAGACTTCATTTTTTCATCTGAAGAATGCTGAGTATGCATTTTCATAGAAGAAGGAATTAGAAGAGACTTATAGGCAGCAGGGAGGAGATTTCCAAAAATCTTGCCTTTTGATTTTCCCTTTAGGCCAAATTCTTTAGTGTGCATTTAAAAATTCTTGGTGTCATGCCAGCTTGTCCTTCTTTCAAACATCCAGTAGCCTTATAGCCAAACAAGCCCATTAGGACAGGTAATTAATTTAGGTTATGTTTGATATATAAACCATGATGGTTTAAATTTCCAGGTGATTATGCAATTTTTATTGTATCACTTTAAGACTTTATTTCATTCCAATCTAATATAGATTGGTTGATATTATTACGATTTATCTCTTGCAAAGTGAAGTGCTGATTTAGGAGAATTGACTTTGTAAATAGTGTCTGTAGAATGACTTTTATATGGACCTAGTATATTTATTATTTGTGTTTTCAGAGTTTATACCAAGTTTGTGGTATAGATAGACATGATTCTCAAAATTTATTTTGGTTTAAAAAATTGCTAACGTCCCATAATGATTATTAGCTTTGTAGGAATATATAAGCACTAACTTTTTTTTGGTTTTGTAAGACCTCTTTAATTGTCCCCCTGACAGGTTTTCTTCTTTTTTTCCTCTTTGAATTTAGGATATGTCGTGGTACTTATGCAGGTCTCTTAGTAAATACCTACCAAAAATTCTGCATTATTAGAACAACGTCTTATGGTTCCTTTAGGCTACTAGTCTTGGCCTAGTGGAAAGAATAAAAAAGGACATTCATGAAAATTTCTTATAGATCAAAATTAAATTATATTCTGATTAATTATCAGTAAGCAATTATAGGCCTCCTCATTCAAGGTCAAGGCCACATATCCTACTATACAATTAACTAATTATTTTCATAAGTTTCCTATAAATTAAGCACTAAGTTATATTTTCTGTTAGACAATAATTTCTTACATCAAATGAATCTTTGATTACTTTACCTTCTCTTCCATGGGCTCTGGGGTAATAGTTGGGTCTATAGCAGAAGCAAAAGCATTTGTTGTGCTGGGTTTTTGTGAAGTTGGAGGAATGACAATTCCTCTACTGGCATGCTTAAAGTTTATCATTTTGTTTTGTAAATATGGTATCACTCCTTCTGCTGGCTATAGAGAATGAGAAAGAAAACAAAGTGTTTTCAGGTTAAAGTACAAAGTCAAGTTGGGAAGAATATAAAGCAACAGAATTGAGATGCAAGGCAAGGAATTAATTTAAGAAGAAAATGCCTTTAATATTTTCTAGATTATAATCTATCCTTTAGAAAGACTGTGCAAACGTGGATGTTTCTTGATACCTGTTTAAATGAGTGTACATAGGAGAATATCTGACCTATAATAGCCCCTCAATAAATATTTGATGAACTGAGTAAATTGAATCTTGACTGGCCAAAGATCTAATTGTTGATGGAATAATAATAATAAAGTTTTCATTAAAATAAACAATAGTGCAGGAACATGTAGGTTGTAAGTTGCTGATTGCGAGCATCTAGCGAAGTGTGGTAAGCAATCTTACCATTGCAGCAGTTTCAGGACCTGTGCCTATGATGGCATCAAAGGCTAGTTGCTTCTGTCCTCCTGGTATAACCTGGAAAATTGGAAAGTTTATAAAAGTCTAAATTCATTTTTAAAATATGTTGTTTTGCATCAAAAGCAGTTAAACAATTCCCAACTTCTTAAATTAGTTTCTTATACACAAAAATAATCATTTCGATTTGAGAAAGAGAGAAGCAGCTCCCGACACAGGGAAACTGGCCTGACGGCATAACCCTGCCTGCGATCTCAGGGGCTCCTTCCCCGCCATTCTCTGCTGGGCCAGCTGTGGTGTTCTGTTGAATATGAGCAATCCCTACAGAGCACCAACCTGGGACAAATTTGCCTCTGAATACAATGAAGTGACGACAAAAGCAAGACTGCTTTGTCATCTTGTTTAAAACAAGATCACAGCGTGAGACATAAAAACCCTCACATCCTGGCTAATCTGAGTAACTCTGGAAGGCAGCT